AACAAAAATTCAGCGTAAAACAGAATAGAAAATTTAAAAGAAATTACATATTTTAACATTTTCAATATTTTAAGGTTCGTTCCCGGTAAGAAGCGAATAATTGAAAAGAATTCTGAGTTCCAATTCTTTTGAATGGGTGAATTTATGTTTTTATTCAATTCCTCGATGAAGAAAAGAAATCTATTCTTCTTAATTGACTTGGTCAAAATTTGTACTCTAAATTATACATATAACTTGACGCAGTTAATTTTAAAACATAGAAATGCCTCATTTAATCTCCACATTTTCTATTCCTCTAAATGCGCTCCAAATAGCCTGACATATAGTCAATTTATATAAATAACCACATATCACCATACATCACTTTTCATATTTCTTATTCTTTTCAATACGCTTTGGAAATTTTGAAGCTGGCGATTGAAAGGAATAGACATTTAAAATTTACTCTTCAAACATTTAATTTTTTTCTATTCGCTGCCAAAAAGTATGAAAATATAGAACTTTGCGCATTAAGAAAAATAAGAAGTTTGAATTCTTTTCTATTGACTTATCTGTACTGGGAATAGAGAAGAATTGATTTTTTTGATAGTTCGATACCTGAGTGTGAAACTGTTCTATCTCACAATGAAAGTAAATAAAGTGCTATCTCAATTGTTTTGTCTAACCTTTTTTGCAATGTTAATTGTATAAAATTTCTTGAAATAATGCTTAATATTACTAGTAAAATATATTATTTACATAATTCTTATGTATTTTATTCATAATAATGTTTTAATTAAACATTATTACCGAAAAATCAGAGCAATAAAAGTTGCAGAGAGCGGGTTAGTCCAAAAACTGAGATATCACGTTATTTACCTTCACTGTAAGATAGAACAGTTTCACACTCAGGTATCGAGTTAGATCTTCACTGGGGAATTGGGTAAAAACACTTAACCTAACTTTCAGCTGATCGAATTATCAAATTCTATAATGTAGAAATAAGTGAAATGTCAATTCATGGAATGATAATTTTATTACAGACAATATTTCATAAACTTAAATTATCCGATTTATATCATACATTAAAAAGCATGTTTCATATTTCTTATTTATCATAAACTTAATACGTTGTAATTATTATTTAGCAGAATTTCATTTATTTCGTTTCACATCTTAACCTAAAGTGTAAATGTATGAATTGTAATTTAACCTCAACGAATTTTCAATGAAAATGTAATTGAACTAATTTTCAATACACGAAATTGTTACACGATATAATTGTTAATTCTCCGACTTTCGTTTTTTATATAATTCACATTACATCGAATTCTTATTTATTCGAATCTTGGCGCGCTAGAATTGTGAATCGTCCTAAATTCGAAATAACCGAAAGTTGAAATCTTCGAAAATCAAATAATTGAATGAGTTTCCCATTCCTAACAATTACACAGGAATATTGATAAAGTAGATTCCTTTGTTGCTTATTCCTATATAAATATCCAAGATATCATATGGGTCAGCCTACTGACTTTCGTCCAATAGTGGTTGCGACCATATTTTTAAAAAATCTAGTTTTAATACATGTGAAACTAGATGATTCTACGACTTCATATAATTCAAATAATTAAATAAAAGAATAAATGATCAAATATATAAAATTATTTCTCACCTAGCGCGACCGTGTTCAGATTTGCTGGGGCTCTATTTGAAAAAATTAAATAATATTAATTAATACGCGGACGCCAGATAATTTTACGAATTTATAAAATTAACACAAGATCTCAAGGAGGGTAGCGTTGGGAACACTAATAAAAATAATATAAAATTAATCAAGCGACTTCCAGGAATTTCATATTTATTTAACAAAATCAAAAAAGAACATTAATCACTTACTTGATGTCGATCGAATATCGACTCTTGTCGTGATAAAAATTTAATATAATTTTCAGAATATCCGAATGACAATTACGTCGAACGATTTGCACGTCACACAACGTACACATACAATAGTCGAACAAAGGGACATAGATTTTTAATGGTGTTAATTAGTTGCTATTAAAATCTCAGAAAGGTGTTTTGCTTCATTTTGGAGAAATAAATTTTTAAAATTTTTCACTTAAGAAGGTTAATTATAAGACTTATAGTTAACTGAAAAATTTCACACCGTTCCATTCAAATTCAACGAACATTGTTATATTAAAAAATTAATTTAAAACATATATAACTGAATATTTATAATAATTTACAGTTTTTTTACTTTTAAATTAATGTTTCTTTAAATATAAAATTTCTTTATTAATATTTTAATTTATATTACAATTCATTGACTTGCTCCTAATTTTTTTCTCTTTTTATAGGTTTTTTTAGTTTCTGGAATTATATTTTTTTGGTTTGAAATAAGATATTTAATAGGATAATTTTCATAAAATTTACGACTAGTTTGGCTTTTAAACAAATGAGAGACTTTATTTATATAAAATTTGTACATAATATTTTTTCAATCCAAATGTTTTCCCGAGGGGGAATTTACTCAGGTAGTCAAGTGTACACTCTTCCTGTAATACTTATGTAGTAACGTGTAATAATGCGTTATTACAGTGCTGTAATAACGCAAAAAACTCTGTAATATCTCTGTAATAATGTGTAATACTCTGTAATAACGTGTAATACTTAGTAATAAGGGTAATATGAGGTGTAATACCGGTAGTCAAGTGTACACGTTTTTAACTAGTAAATTCCCCCTCGTGTTTTCCTAAGAAAAATAAAATTTAATCAATAAATATTAATTATTAACAAATAATAATGACAATTATTATTAATTGCAATGATTTTCTGAAATTAGAGATGTTGATAAATAAAAAAAAATTTGATGACAAATAAAATTTATTTTTAAATTACAAAAAATCACATACATAACATAATGATATTTGAATGGGAAAAATTAACATATATCGGAGTCGTAATCAGAGACCCCAAAGAAACATTTTCAAATCAAATTTATGAGAAAATTATATATCGAACCATGAATGAAAAATTTTTTTGCTATCGAAATTCAGGGATTTTTAAAAAAAAGTTATGAAAACATCGTGCAATTTTTTAATTATATCCCGTGTAAAAAGATTCTCTGGAAAGTGCCCCCTGTAAATTCCTGTGGAAATTCCATAGAATTTCTATCAAGATTCTACGGCATATCCATGGAATTTCCAGTTAAAAATTTTGCTGAATACAACTGCGTGACACAAAAAAGTTTATATGAATTCGTAAATTTACATATTTTGAGAATTTTAACATAAATAACTTGAAATGTCAAAGAAATTTTTTTTAATTAAAAGGTCCCCAGAAGAAAACATGCTGCGTATCTAAAATTAAAGAGTCTCGAACTCAACTCCTCCAAAAAATTCATGTTTCACGGGATTTTAAAGAAACTTTGAAAAATATTAAATGTTGATTAGACGTCCTAGTAAACCTTCTGCAAGGATTCAGCGTTAAAATTTCAAGTTGCCTATGTTAAAATTCGCAAAATATGTAAATTTGCGAATTTACATAAACCTTTTTGTGTCACGCAGTTGTATTCAGCAAAATTTTTAACTGGGAATTCCATGGATATTCCGTAGAATCTTGATAGAAATTCTATGGAATTTCCACAGGAATTTACAGGGGGCACTTTCCAGGGAATCTTTTTACATGGGTATGCAAAAAACATTGTAAAACAATTTTTTAGTCATTTTTTGACATCATATTTAGATAGAATACACTCTAATACATAAAAATATCAGAGTTTGAATTCAGACCAAAAATTCAATGCATTCTGGCGTTAATGGGTTAACCTTAACCCTTTGCGTCATGCTAAGTCTTTCAGAAACCAACCTACTATTTTCTAGTTTTAAAATTTACAAATTGATCGGATTGACTTGAAACTAGTTACTCGGAGGTTTTCGGAATCGCTGATCATGAATCTGAAATTCGTTTTTGAAAATTCAAAATAGCGGATCCAATATGGCCGACAAATTTTGAAAAATTTACCTGATCCGTTGAAAACTCGAGGATTTTTGCGGAATCAGGAATGAAAGCAATTGAGGGTTCCGATCAAATATATCGACCAACGCTCGGAAGAACGCTCTATTACCAGTCAAGTAGCAGTGAGAGCCTCTGGGCGGCTCACTGCTACCTGACTACCATTAAAGCGATCGTCCCAGCGTCGGTCGAGTTATTTGATCGGGACTTTCCATTGAAAATCTGTGCTTCGATTATCAATTTGGTTTGTACGTGTTTGTCATTGCGAAATGAAAAATATTACAAACTAATTTTTAATATATTTATCTGACATATTGGATACTTTTTTAATTTTTTAAAACCGACTTTTGAGTTGTAAGCAACGAATTAGAAAACTCTGAGTAAGAAGTTTTAGAGGAATTTTGAAAAACTAACATCGGATTCGTAATCAGCGACCCCGATAACCTCCAAGTAACGAGTTTCAAACGAATCTGATAAATTTTGTATGTCTGTCATATTGGATTTTTTAAACTGATGCATGTTTAAGAAAGTTATGTGTATTAAAAAAAATTGTTCAATTTTAGAAAACAGTAACAAAATTTAAGCCAAATCAAAGAAATAAGTCAACGCTATATTGGAATGGCATGGACACCCCCATATACATGTTTCTAAATACAATTTTTGATCTGACTGTATTGTTTCTAACTGATTGAGAACTTTAAACATCCAAATTCCGAATTATTCTAGATGATTTCGGTCTAATATTCTTACTGGACTAAATTCGAATTTCTTGCATACAGATTATTTCGAACTCCTTTTGGATTCATCTTTTTGTGCGGGCGATTTCACGGCTTTTCATATTTTTTTCTGCTTTCTGACAATGCATTACGATTTTTATCCTGGGTCAAATATTTTTGTAACGTATCAGAAATTATGACAATTTATCAATACTTGAATATTTTAAGTTTAAGATTTAATCGGATTTAATAAATGGAATTTTAAAAATGTTTTCTTCTTTTGTGCAGATTCATTTGGCCTTGTATTCATTTGCCAATGGCCATGTCTCAGCATCTCTAAGATTATTGTACCGAGCACGATATCTTGCACTTTTGATTTGCGGTGAAGATCATCCTGAAGTGGCATTGCTCGATGTAAGTTATAAATTTTTTATTTATTTCTGATGTAATTATAGTTTTACATAAAATATATGAAGTAATTTTAAGCATAATGGGAAGAATCAACTAAATTATTAAGAAAACTTAAAGGAAACATTTTGTAAAATATTCTTATAAAAAACTCCATTTTAAAGGGTTATATCACTTTGACCGCATGAAAAAATACTAGTTTTTTAAGAATTTGTTTTAAAGAAAGGAAATTTTTTTAATAAAATTAAAATACATAACGTTATTATGCTACAATTAAACTACGAAAAAAAATTTTAATTTTTTTTTAATTGCCTGTTAAACAGGTGATTTAGCGGAGCGCTGCAAAAATCGATGGTCTTGAGGTGTCCCAAATAAATCAGTCCAGATTTGTTCTAATATAAAAAACCAAAAAGCATTAGTTTCTGTAGCCTAAAATCTAAAGAAATACGTAGCCGTTTTTAAAAATATTTACAATTTCTGGACAACATTAAGTAACGGAATTTTAATCCAAAATACATATTTTTTATTTAATTTGAAGCCATTTTGGCAAAAACTCGGCTACCGCATGACCATCGATTTTTGCAACGCTCCGCTAAATCACCTGTCAAACAAGCAATTAAAAAAAATTTTTTTCTAAATTTTTTTTGTAGTTTAATTGTAGCATAATAATGTTATGTTTTTAATTTTATTAAAAAAATTTTTCTTTCTTCAAAGAAATTCTTGAAAAACTCTTATTTTTCATGCTTTCAAAGTGATGTAACCCCTTAAGCAAAAAGTTGAATTCTAAATTTCGCACAAATACGAATTTTCCATTAAATATTATTTGAGAATCCTTATCTCTTACTTTTATTCCAGAATAATTTGATTTTTAAATTAATAATAGCTTTTTAACGAATTGATTATGTGTACTAAAAGGTAAAATAAAAATGTGACGTGCTCTGAAGAAAGGGACCTAAGTAGCAAATACAGATCTCTTTATTGTACTAATTTTTCCGACTTACTTTAATAAAAGGCGATTTTTTCGATTTATTTTATAAAATAAAAAAATAATAATAATAATAATAATTTACAAAAAATTATTTGATTACACATTTTTCTTATTTGAATAAATTTAATTTGAATGCATAATTTTTAACTTCATACTTTCCGCTTCAAAAGGTACTCAAAATAAAATTTCTATCTTTGAATTTTACCAGCGAAACAATTGTGCTAACCTAAATCTGTGAAACTGATACAATTTTTTTGAGTCACCCAGTAACTAAAAATTTTTTTAACTGAATGTTAAAATTAAAATGTATTAAAATTTACTTCACACCACTCGCGGCTGGGTTCAAGATAGTTAATTTTCTTAAGTTTTGTCAGTCGATAGAAGGTCGATAGTCTTTATTTGTTATTATAAAATATTTATTAATTAAGTTATAATTTAATTTAATCTCATGTAAGAATTAATCATATAGAAATTTAAGTGGGATGTCATGTGTGGATTTCACTGTTTTATTTGTCCATCTAAGATACCAAGTCGGAAATTATATGAGAAATTATGTAGGAAATTATATGGGAAATTCCAATATACATAGATGTAGATCATCATAGTTCCACTCTTACGCTGCCAGATGGTGATAATTTTTTTTCTCACAGTTGAGATCAGTCTTGAATACTATAAAAGCTGAGACTCTAACTCAGAAGGTGTATTGCAAAGCACAATTATTTTTCTTTTCAGATGAATTGCAGTAATATTATTTGATTTTTAATTAAATAATTTTTAATTTTTATAAATTGCCGTCTGCCAACTGAAAATTCCTATATAAAATCCTATATTGTTTCCTTTATATAATTCTATATGAAATCTTAGATATAGGTATTTCAGAATCTACATGAAATCCTATATGATTTCTTATGTTCAAATCAATCATATATATGATCCCACGTGAGGATTTTTAATATGATTTCATGGCAGATTTTTTGTAATAATTTTTTATTCAAGAATCGAAAAAAGATTTGATCTATGATTTGATATAGGAAAATTTCTGGTTAAGGATTGAGCAATGAATTTTAGTATGTTTTTTAATGATAAAACACGAAGGAAATTGACATAAGAAATTGAAGGAAAAAATGGGACCAGAAAAAATTGTAGGATTTCACATAGGAATTTACATAATTTATTACTCAAGAATACGTTTATAAAAATTTACATCGAATCCCACTTCAAATCATGTCTCAATTTCCTATATGATTTTTCATAAGATCTTATATAGTTTCTTACATGACACATAGGATTTTATGTGGATTTTAATATATGAATTTATGTAAGATTCGATATAAGATCCTACATGAGAATTTTCAGTAGGGGAGACACATGCGCCTATGACAACATTCCAGGGACGAAACGAATATTGAACGTCCCCTGAAAGATCTATTAATAATTAAAATTTTCTAGAGAGTCACAATAAAGATTCCTGTTACAAGTGTCTCAATTTTTTTTAACCATTTTAACTTCAAATTTTGACAAAATTCTAAATTTATAAATAATTTGCATAAAGCAGATATTTTTTAAAAATTAAAAATTTTTATAACTAATTTGTCTCAATTTTATTTTTTGCTTCTTAGGTCCCTTTCTTAAGAGCGCGTCACAAATGTATTACAGTAAAATATATAATATCTTTTATAGAAGCAGTTTAAATTTGATTTACAACTTTTATGATTGATCTTTCTTGAATATGTGAAGAATAAAGAAGAATAAATTTTTATTTTCTAGAGTAATATTTCACTGATCCTGCACGCCGTTGGAGAGTACGAACTTTCCCTTCGATTTTTAGAGCACGCTTTATCTCTAAATCTTCGCTATCATGGGTCTCGTTCATTGAAGGTTGCTGTGTCTTATCACCTGGTAGCACGCACGCAATCCTGTATGGGAGACTTTCGTGCAGCTCTCAACAATGAAAAGGAGACGTACGCCATTTATAAACAGCAATTAGGCGAGGAACACGAAAAAACCAAAGAGAGCAGTGATTGCTTGAGACATTTAACTCAACAGGCTGTTGTTTTACAAAAGAAAATGAATGAAATTTATACTGGGAAGTCCGGTGTCAGTCTGCCTCCAATCCAAATCCAACCACCAAGTATGGGTTCAGTGCTTGATATGCTCAATGTTATCAACGGTATTCTTTTTGTGCAAATTAGTCAGCAAGATATTGAAAACTTCAAAGCTGAAATAGAAAAACGACAGAAGGAGCAAACACCAGATGGAACTATAAAGGCTATTGAAAATGAGAAGAAGGAAGAAACTGCGAATGAAGAAAAGATCACTGACATCACGGCTGATTCTAAATGCCTAGAGGAAATGAAAACCTCAGTAGAAACATCAGTTGCTGCTGAAAGCTGAACTTTTTTCTAATGTAAACAAAAAGCCATATGTTTGTTTAATGTCCTAGTCTCAATATTAATGTTTGCGTCGCTCCAAGATAATGAGTTTGGGGAATACACTCTCGCCCTTCTGCAACGCTGTCACTAAGTGCAAATTATTCTCTAAGTGCCACATCGTTGAGTATTCTTAGGAGTTGAGACAACGAAACACAAAGCAGAGTTTTGTTTAACGATCCTACAAAACTGTTAAGTGTACGCTCTGATTTCAGCCCTAGTCTTAAGTCCTTCCTCTTACAATTATCAACCAAAATCTTTGCGACTATTAAAAGTTTATTAACATTTTATCCAATAATTCATTGTTTCATTTATTATGTTTTAAAACTTTAAACAAGCAGTTAGAATTTCAAATAATAAAAATTACATACAAATTATTCATGATATTTTCAACCAGATTTACAATATGTATTCTTTATCTGTTTGATAATATTTTGTTTTCTTGGTTTTTTAATTAAGTTCTCTTAAAATACATCAAATTCAAATTTCAAAATTTTAGCGAATTTTTACAGCAATCATCTTTTGTATAGCAGTTTTTTCTTTTATTAGGATTTTTTTCATTATAGAAAATTTCAAAGTGTCGGGGAATTTTTTTACATTTTAACGTAGTTTTAGAAAAAATCATCATTTTTATTTCTTATTCCAGAATTTTTAGACATATTTTTTTAAGCAATTTGTAAAAATTTATATTCTAAATCGTGAAAAATTAAAATTTCTTATTATTAGAAACTTTTTTGAATTTTCAAAGAATATTTAAACAAAATAAAATTTAAATAGTAATTAAAGTCATAAGTTTTATTATTTACTATATGTTTATTGTTATAAACTTTTTTTTATATGTTTGATATTATATAAATATATATATTTAAAAAATTATAATCAAATAAAAACAATTTTTAACGATAAAAATTGTCTTTTAAAAAGTTTGTAAATTTCAATATCTTTTCTCGACAAAACAGTCTTCATTTTAAATTGAAAAGCAAAATTGTATAAAAAGGGACAAATAAATAAAAAATTGTTAATATAATTTTAGTCAAATGACTAAAATGACTTCACCCAGCGCGATCAGGGTCAAAGTTCTTTAGGAAACAATTGAAAGGACCCCGCACTTTTTGTATTAAAATTGGCTCTTAGCCAATTTTTTTGTAATTTTGGACTTTTGTAGCTTTTGACCTCCTGAACAAAAATGTATATGACAAAACTCAAAATAATGATCAGTTTTTGAGATACAGGGGTCCAAAGTTGAAAAAATTAAATTAAACCGGCTTGAAACTGGTTACTCGGGAGTTTTTGGGGTCGCTGATTTCAAATCCGGTGTCAGTTTTTAAAAATTAAAAATGGCGGATCTAATATGGCGGACGACTTTTTGAAAAATGCATCACATTTTCTTGAAACTCTTTACTCGGGGGTTTTTGGGGTCGCTGATTAAGAATCTAATGTTAGTTACTAAAAATACAAAATGGCGGATGCAATATGGCGGATGAATTTTTTAAAGATTGATCCATTTCGCTTGAAATGAAAAATAATAATTGTCTCATCCCTCTAAAGAGAAAATGGATATTTTTGGCCAAAAGAAATAAGATTTAATACACATTATTTAATTATTTTTTAATTTTGGACCGCTGTTACTCAAAAACTGATCATTATTTTGAGTTTTGTCATATACATTTTTGTTCAGGAGGTCAAAAAGCTACAAAAATGCAAAGTTACAAAAAAATTGTCTGAGAGCCAATTTTAATACAAAAAGTGCTGTGAATACAAAGTTAATTAAATAAACCAGACATTAGAAAAATTTTTTAATTCGACTAGCTAAACGAACTGAGAAATACTTCAAGAGTACTGTCAAAAAAAGACTTTTTATATAAATTAAACGTTATAAAGAACATTTTCTAAATTAAAGAAAATGTTATATAAACTTTTCTTCCTAATAGAGGTTTGTATTTTCTTTTATTTCTTATTTTTCATTTTTAAGAAATTTTTTTTTTTTTAAATCAATAAAGAAAAATATTGTTCCCAGTTTAGCAATCAGTGTCGCCCCCTGTTTTTTCTAAATGTCAAAAAGAGATCTGCAGCTCACAACGAACCAAAAAACACTTTTAACCGTTTTTCAAAATTAAAAAATTTTATAACCTTTTTTTATAATAACAAATTTTTGCATCATTATAAAAAAATTAATAACTCACGGTGATTTGATTTTTTCTTTAAATTCTAGTAATTTATCACATTAAAATATTTTCTTGTACATTATTATCATAAAAATGTAAGTCTTCTTATAATTTTTTTCATGTAATAAATAAATTATTTTATTTGAGCACTTAGTAACCTTAAAATACACTATAAAATAAGTAAGTCATAAAATTTCTGTTGATAAATATTAGAAATTAAGCCCCTGGTAACAGGTTCTTTGAGACCTCTTCCAAAATAAATGATTTTACGGTAGTCACGATATCTAATAACTGCTTCATCAAAAATAAAAAAAACTAATTCACTAGTCAATACTGTGTAGAAGTGTGCCAAATTTTAGAAAAATCGGTGCATTAGTTTTTGAGATTATTCTGGAGTTTTTAGGGTCGCTGATTACAAATCTGGTGTCAGTTTTCCAAAATTAAAAATGACTGATGCAAAAAGGCGGAATAAGTAATTAAAAATCAATAGCATTAGATGCAGGTCGAAGTAAAAAGCGTTTTCGAAATTTCTCTCTCTTTCCTAGAGTTTTACTCAAATTATCATAAAACGTTGGGAAAATATTACTGACATGTTATACTATAAAATAAAAGCAAAAAAAAATTTGATTTTTTTGTTTGACCCACGTAACCCCTTAACCTTTTGTGGCATAGTGACACTTTTGATAAGGAACACTACCCAGGTGTATCTCACCGATTTCGCTCATCTTGTGATATGTTGTAGTTCTTTGAAAGATAGTCGACACGCATTATTTTATAAGTGCCTTATCGCATATTTAAAGGGTGAAAACAGCCTCTAAAATTAACCCCCAAAAATAGTTTTTTGCGATTTTTAAGCAATCCAATAAGAATTTTTTTCTTTTTTCAATTGTATATTGTAGGGTTCTCAAAAATACTCCCAGAAATAAGTCAGACTCGATAGGGGGTGGCGTTATTAGGGTGATATGGTGGTGCAACTTTTTTTAAACAACTTTTCAGTTTAAAAATGTACAATGTAACTAAATATAAGCAAAAACTTAAATTCTTTAAAGGAGATTCAAAAATAAAGTTGACATGTTTTTAGAATTTCCATGAAAAAAATATCTAAGGGGGTAACTACCTCCTCATTAGGCTGAATCCATTTCAAAACGTACAGGCCGACCACCTTCAGGTTGTAGATTTTTCTGTCGATGAAATATGTTATTCTACATGAAAAATAAAGAGACACGTATTTTTTTATTTTTCATAAAAATTATGTTTAACGAAGTTATGGTCATTTGAAGTTTGAGTGGTAAAACTCGAAAGAACAATGAAAAAAAATTGTTTCGCCTGTAATTTTTTTTCTAATGAATGCAATCAAATTATTTTTCTTGGATCTTGTAGGGGGTATATTCCTCTTTAAAGTCCCATTTGAAATTTGAAACAAGATTTAAAATTAACAAAACAGGAGATGATTTTCTAAAAATCATTAAAGTCAACTTTCTCAAAAACCCCACTTTTTTTTCCCTCAAATTTTTACCATAAATTCTTACCAATATGAAGAACCAATCCTAGGAGTTTCAAGCGGGCTAAACAATCCTGGTAGTAAGGAGAAATTTTTTTCGAAATATTTTTTTTTACGAAATTTGAAATGGCTGACGTGCAGTTTCAACAACAAATGAACTAACTGAAGAGAGTCATTTTATAACCAACAATTATTGGTTGGAGTAAATGTAATTTGACAAATAGAACACTCCAATCTAATCTAAGTATTTATGTATTTTATTTCATGTAATAATAATTTGCAGCGTTTCAGGATTTAATTTGAGTGAGTTTTAGTTTCATTTTCCTTTTTATAATTTGAAAAAATATTTTTTTAATATTTGAATTATTATAAAATAAACTATCTTGAATTTTTACTTAATCAATTTATTTTAAAATGAAATTTGCAAATATTAATTTCCAAATTAAAAATTAAAACTTTAAGTTTTTTAAAAAAATTTTGAATGATAATTTGAATTGGAAAATATTTCAAGAGTATATTACTGAAAGAATCACAATATTTATAAAAAATATTTTTTCTTTTTTCACCTTTTTATTAATTATATATTTATTATCATTGGTTTTAACGATACTTAAAATGTCAAATTATAAATTTTTTGATGTTTAGAACCTGTTTGAAAAAAGTGATTTTATGGTTATTTTCTATACATACATTATTGTTGGTTATAAAATGACTCTCTTCAGTTAGTTCATTTGTTGTTGAAACTGCACGTCAGCCATTTCAAATTTCGTAAAAAAAAATATTTCGAAAAAAATTTCTCCTTACTACCAGGATTGTTTAGCCCGCTTGAAACTCCTAGGATTGGTTCTTCATATTGGTAAGAATTTATGGTAAAAATTTGAGGGAAAAAAAAGTGGGGTTTTTGAGAAAGTTGACTTTAATGATTTTTAGAAAATCATCTCCTGTTTTGTTAATTTTAAATCTTGTTTCAAATTTCAAATGGGACTTTAAAGAGGAATATACCCCCTACAAGATCCAAGAAAAATAATTTGATTGCATTCATTAGAAAAAAAATTACAGGCGAAACAATTTTTTTTCATTGTTCTTTCGAGTTTTACCACTCAAACTTCAAATGACCATAACTTCGTTAAACATAATTTTTATGAAAAATAAAAAAATACGTGTCTCTTTATTTTTCATGTAGAATAACATATTTCATCGACAGAAAAATCTACAACCTGAAGGTGGTCGGCCTGTACGTTTTGAAATGGATTCAGCCATTATATAAATATGTAAATTTTTAAAGTGCATTAAATGACGCGACGTCGTGTATTCCTTAATTTTATTTCATAATAACAGAAATAACCTGAAATTTGTAAAATTATGCAATGCCTTTGCAATCTTACCCCTTGACGGGGGTAAACTATCCCATGTCTCTTTTTTATTTAGAAGACTTTTTGAATATGTTAGAGTTTGATCACGTTTTTTCCATATTCGAATGTAAAAGAGGCAAAAATAAGTAAAAATTTGCAACATTGAGCAATGTCTAAAACCTACTATCCCTATATACAGAGGTAACTACCCCTCTTCATACATAAAACACTAGCTAAACATATTTTGTTTCACTCTTGCAGTAAAAATCAATAGAAATTGTTAGAAATATGCAAGATTCAACAACGTCCAAGCATTTTTTTCACCAACGGATAATTTTTTTTATTGTTTTTATTTAATT